ATGTGCTAGGTAGATGCTAGTATTTACAGCCTCGGATATCCCATCAATCCATAGCTTGCGTGGTCGACCTCTAGGCCTGCTTCCATTGTGTGAGCAGGGATTGATGTGGTGCACTATCTGGTGGTAATCTTGTCACATGTCCAAACCATTTGATCTGCTGTGTCCTTGTAAAATGTTAGTACTGGTCCCAACTCCTTTACTGATATCGCCATGTCTGATCCTGTTTCTTCTAGGTACATTTAGGATTCCTCGCAGACATTTCATCCCTGTTGTTTCGATGTTTCTTTTATTGTTAGTATGCATGACTTCGTGCTTTACTTCGACATCATGCAAATGGCACAATTCAGTCGCTGGTATATTAAAACAAGTCCATCCATACGGTAGCAAGTACGTTCTAGTACCGAGCTTCCATCCTGACTAGGAAAAATACCTTTAGCTCACGGTCTGGGTAATAGCCCAGCTGAAGCGAAGTCTGCCGCCTCCAAAGTCTTGCACCCCAGTCTTATATGAAAATGTTCATAAATCCCGTTAGCTCTGCACGCTGCGATCAAATAAACTGGCAGCTTTGAAGGTCTGACTCGGGGAGCAGCCGACAGCGCCCTGACTTAGCTAATCTACTGGCTAATCATTGTCACGTGTCCCGCGGTCCGCTTGAGAAGAGCAGAATATTATATGGAAAGTGAGTTGGCAAGACTGTTGGGTACCTCCACCGCTCTGTGTTGTATGATTAGCTTTGGGGGCACCTTTGAAATAGTCGTTACTTGACTTCGGGGTTTAATTCGGCTCTACGGCGACGTCATAATCAGAGCTTTACGTTTGTAGGCAGTTTTAATTTAGTGTTATTTCACACGGTGCTTCACGGAGTTGGGAAAGGCCGTCCCCAAGGGGAGTATTTTTTTTTTTTTTTTTTTTTTCGTGGGGGAAGAAGGCAGATAAAATTAGTACAAGATGAAATTTGTTAGAAAATGATTATAGTGCAAAAGAAGTTACTAACCGTGATTCGTTTGTTGGTAGTGGCGCCGCCACGCCGAAAACAGTAAGGTTGGGGGGGGGGGGTTCTAATACACCCCCCCCCCCCATTTTGTAGCGTAGGGGAAATCTGAAGCCCTGTTAAATTGCTCAAAAATTATATGTTTTATTATTGCTCAGTTAAACAAGGTTTGAGGATTTTCCCCAAATAAAATTAATTTGCAGGGGTCTCAAGGTTCTTAAACTTTGTTTAATTGTGCAATAGTATTATTTTATTAGTAGTAGTGTGAATGTGCTGAATGACAAATAAAGGGGATACCACACTCTTGAAATAATGTGACATGTATAATTACTTCTAACTCTTTCACGGCGACATTTTTTTTTTTTTTCTGGTGTCTGGGCAGCATTAATTTTGAGCGGAATTTGTTTTTACTGCAACATGGCATATCTAAAACCTTCCTGAGGGGAAAAAAAGTATTTTCGGTAGAGAGACCTATAATATTTCAAATTAAAGAGAAACGAATGCAGAATAAATCTAAGCTATTTAAATGTTAGTATTGCCAGAAAATGTTATTAAAATCACACACCATTTAAGGATGCTAGAAACATACGAAGATTATTTACACATTTACGTTATTTATTATTTCAACAAAACTGCTATCAGGTTCTAAGAATTAACATGCCCTTCCCTGGTCAGTTATATATCAGCTAGTCTTTGTTTTAAATAATTAATTTAAATACGTTGGATGTTATGACCATTTTTATATGACATGTCAGATTTCACCACAAACCGAAATAGGAAAACAGCTGATCGAAACAGAGGTGATCCGATTGAAATATTTTGTTCACCGTCATCCTAACATATATTATCGCCAATAGGTTTTTCATCTGCATTGTCAGTCGTAATATCAAGACTGTTGTCAATATCTGGCTGAGATTCATCAACGACCGCGCATTATGAACAGTTCTAGACCTTTTCCCTTATCATATTGGCATAGAAAAATCACGTACATCACGTAAAAATTTTATCACATCTAAATTTAAAACAAATCAGAAAGTTAACCGGACACCACGACAAACTTCCTCGACGAAAGGACTCTGACTAATTCTAATTTTTCAAAGCATGTTCATGCTAATTCGTTTTCCAGCAAACGAAACAATATTAGTGTCTGTGCGTGAAGCTAGCAATCCAAACCAACAACCAGTGACCATAAATAACCAAACTCTTGAAAATGTAGAACATTTTACATATCTTGGCAGTATGGTGTCCCTACTGGGAGGGACCGAAGAGGACATATAGTCACGTCTGAACAAATCTAGAGCTGCTTTTGGAAGGATGAGGCAAATCTGGAAACTCCGACTCTACAAGAGCATCTTTTTGCCAGTTCTTCTTTATGGCGCGGAATGCTGGAGAATTACCAAAAAAGGATGCACACAAGCTGTCAACCTTCCACCACACATGTCTACGTAGAATTATAAAAATCGTATGGCCAGATACAATCTCAAACACTAAACTACTTCAAGTCACAAACAAGAAACTTTAGACAGTATGATAACCAAGAGGAGATGGAAATGGCTTGGCCACGTTATGAGAATGAATCCTGATATACCTGCTAAAACAGCTCTTACATGGACACCAGAGGGAAAGAGAAAAAAGAGGCGCCCAAAAACAACATGGAGAAGAACGATGGAAAGTTACCTGAGTGCGGGATCTTTGACATGGAAAACTGCATTGAAGATTGCACAGAATAGGAAAGCATGGAACGTCCTCTCTGAAGCCTCATGTGCCACTAGACATATCGAGAACTGATGATGTGCGTCAAGCTACTTAAGTGGTGATCCGTCCAAATGTGCTGGATTCAGAAGCCACTTGAGTGGCGATATGTCCTCAAAGAGTTAAAGAAGATTTCTTTAAATATATAAGGTGCGGGGGAGGGGGGGGTCCTTAGCTCCTCTTAGTTGCTTTGGGGCTCAAGGAAGCTGAGCCTCCAGGATCTGGCGCCTGTGTTTATGGGTATGCGACTATCATCACTAGCTTGAAGTTAGCATTTGTCACAGTTAAGCACATGGAACATCTAAGAGAATCGATTTGGTTAAGTGCCGACTTCACAATGGATGTTGGTACCACTGCACCAAAATTGTCTTGCTGGTTTAAATATTGCCCCCTCCGCCACCTTTTCCCTTTTCTTCCCCCCCCCCCCTTCCTCCTTTCTGTTAGCATGTCACGCACGCAAGTGCCGTCTTCGCAGTAAAGATTGGCGTCGGTAGCTCTTCAGCACTGTGGTTGTCTCTCTCCTTGGTAACACACTCTCTAATGCTGGTCTGCGTCCATCTCTATATGTTCCCTTACCACATGTATTGTATTTTGCCTCTTCCTGCTCTTTATCGTGTTCGCCTGTTTTAGCTTTTGTCAGACTAGTAAGTCTTGTAATGTTTGCCTAATACACTGATGCATTGGTAGACCTCATTAATCCGTTCCTGATCCGTGTGTGCCAGGCAGGACGTATACACGACGTATTTCCCACATAATAAATAAATGGAGAATTATTAATCCGTTCCCATGAAAGTAATTGATCCGTTCCCATGAAAGTGATTACTCCGTTCCCGTGAAAGTGATAAAAGCATTCACGTGAAAGTGATTATTCCGTTTCCGTGAAAGTGATTAATCCGTTTCCACGAAAGTGATTAATTCGTTTCCACGAAAGTGATTAATCCATTCCCATGAAAGAAAGAAAAATCCTATTGTTATTGGCATATTTTACATTGATGAGCATTGTTAAAAATAATTTAAACACTGCTCATACTAAAATACATAAATGCACAAGCAGTTAGATAAAATAATGCATATGTACCCTGTCCCGTTGCTTTGCTCTGCCCCCCCCCCCCAAAAAAAAGGGTCACGTTCAACCATCATCCCCGAAGTGGAAGCTTTAGGTTGTAATTGTGACATGGGTATTTGCTCCTCATAAAATGCTCGCCACTAAGTAGCCCTACAACGGACTCCTGCAGTGTTGCTGCGGTCACGGGAGACTGGCCCAAATACTGTCCCGACCGGCGACGAAGTCGTCTACCGGCCGGCCATTTGGCGATGCCGTCGCCGATGATGAAATATAACCTCACTTTACCTTGCTGATTTAAGATCCCCCCCCCCCCCACCCGCCCAAATTTCTGTAATCAGTTAACACATTTCATCTGCTTTAAGGAGGCTGCCAGGTTGCCCCCTCCCCAGTCCCGACCTCTTTTTTCTCCTGCTCTTCCATAATATTCTTTGCATTTTTGTTTTCACAATCAAAAAGTCGGTAAATTATAATATCTTGGAACATTTATTATATCATCAGGTGGAAAATATGTGTCAGAGATTAGGTCATGCCAAAGCTGCATTTCAGAAAATAAAAAATATCTTATGCAATAAATCGCTCTTGTTTAATGTCGCAAAAAAATAATGCAAAAATGTTACATAGAACCTGTTCTGCTGTATGGCAGCGAATCTTAGAATGTCAGTGAACGAATTAAGAAGAATTTAGAAGCAAAGGAGATGTGGTTTCTGAGACGACTGTTGCGAATACCTTGGACGGCCAGAGTAACTAACGATTTCTTGAAAGAAGCTAATGAAAGTAGATTTATATAAACAACAATAAGAAAGAGACAAACACTGTTCTTTGGCCACCTAAAAAGAAGAGACATTTGAGAACATCGTGACAACTGGAAATATCAGTGGGAAAAGGGGTAGAGGCAGACCAAGAGGGACGATGCTGGGTGGGCTAAAACGATGGCATGGATGGGTATCATCAAGAGAGCTGTTCAAGGCAACCAGGGATCGTGATCTGTGGAGGCGCATGATCGCCTTCGCCAGTTGGCAGGGCACATGGTGATGATGAGAATCAAAACCCAAATATTGGCTGTAAAAGAATACACATGCTATAAATATTAGTTGCTGAATACGTTTTGTTTCCCCCCTAACCCCAAACCGGCACTCCGTATATGTCTGCAACAGTGAATTTTCATTACATCTGGATAATTTCTCTCCACAGGAAAACCCTGCTCTGATAAACGAGCTGAGAGCTGACGTGAGAGAGGAGTGCGCCAAGTTTGGCGAGGTCAAGAAAGTCAACTTATACGACGTAAGTATTGCCTGCTAGTTGCATGTCCTTTTCATGGCTGTGCGAACCATCCCAGGTATTGTTGCGTGGTTTTACTAGGCAGTTTTACGTTCCTGTTGTTTGTCAGTGCTTTTTGAACGGCGCAGCGATCGTATATTTTTGTCAGTCCGCTATCAAATCGCCGTAACCTGACTTGGAAACCATGTATGTCAAAATTGTGAAACTGCGTTCACAATGCCTAAGCCACAGACGCTGGCGTAATTTGTATAGGGGTGTAAGTTAAAGCGATCCCTTTTGACGTTAGACGTAAATAAGTAAAGGACCTTTTTCCACGCCTTTAAGCATATAAGGTTAGACCTATATTTCATAGACAAATCGGCACAAGATGGGTGATGTGGTCAGCATCACGCCGACCGCCTTTACTTCCTGCAACTGCACCCGGTACCCACTCAGGGCTGGGTCGACCTGGGAGCCACGGTAATTTTGTGCACACAAAAATTCCGGCACCACCAGGGAGCCTTCGGATCCGCAGGCGAACGTCTGACCACGGCGACTTGCTTTGGCGTTAGAAACATTTTGGATATATGATGCGCAGTAGTAAAAAGACGTAAAGATCTGTAAAATAGAAAATTAATTTCTAGAACAATACAAAAGCTGCTTATCCTTAACAGGACGCTGCAGAACCAACCCCAACATTTTTTAGCTGTTGTGGTTTTTCGAGGCAAGTTTACTGGACGGTCAGCTTCTTGATACCACTGTGGAAACCAACGCAGGGCGCAAGGCCCGCAGCTGGGATCGAACCCGGTACCCCGGCATTACAAAGCGCGCTCGTAACGCCTAAGCCACAGAAGTCGATTCTAGAATAATACTCAATTAAAAAAATAGACGAACAACTAGAACTTTAGAGCTGGAGTTTACAGTCGTTGACTGTGAAGAAAAAGGAGAAGAAGAATAGGTTGATCCGTGAGCGTAATTTTTGTTTTTAACTGACTTATAAAGGATTCGGGCAAATACCCCACTGGACTTGCGAGCGAGCTAGTTACTGTCCTTTTGGTGTTGAATGTGAAGTAAATGACCCTTTTCCACACCTTCACGCCTAATGGGCTAGACATATATTGGATAGAACAATCGACACTCGTTGGGCGATGTGGTCAGCATCACGGCGGTGGCCTTTACTTTCCAGGACTTTATCTTGTACCCATTTAAGGCTGGGTCTACCTGGGAGCCAAGGTTGTTTAAAAGAAAAAAACATCTAGAATCGAAGCCACGACCTTCAAATCCGCAGGCGAGCGGTGTGGTTGTATGATAGTGCCCATAACTCACGTTGTAATACACTGTACCGCGCAACCTGCCATAAACAGATCACTTCCGGGAAGGTTAAAAATCCGGCCACCAAATTCGTAAGTCGGATGTGTCGACCCAAAGACGCAAATATCGCTGCAATGCTTGCACGGGTAAATGTTGTTACCCTTTCGGATCAACGCAGAAGATCACTTATTCCTTCCGTGAAAAGGTACTTGCAGTGATTACTAAAGGACAAATCAGCTGGCGGCACGCGGACCGAATTCGGCTTACAGAAACCTATCGACAGGCCTGCGGTTCATTGCCAGTTCTATTGTATCAGTGCACTTTCCATGCTGTGACGATCCCCATTTTCAAAATATGGGCCCCTGGTTAAACTCATTTGAATAGCCCTGGTTTACTACTGCCGTGTGGTGTGTGGAGGGGGGCACATCGGGAAGGGAATGGAGGAAGAAAAGATTGCAGAAAGGATGGAAGCTGAGCGTCTGATTAAAAAGTAGACTAAACACAAACGTTGACAACAACGGTCATGAAATCCCATGCTATACTTGTGGAAAACTTATCTTAACGCGGGCGGGTCTTGCTAGTCACACTCGCCATCGCCATGGGCTGTGAGTCCCATGCCTCCTCATAGCGCAGTATAGCACTGTCGTCTGCAAAGACGGAAAGGTTCAGTCAGTCACTACTACCATGTGGTATGTGCAGTGACCAACTGATTAGTTGCTGCGTACAAATGACATTTGTAGTTATCTCCAGTAAATTAAGTTAGAAAATAAAAAGTAAAGGACCCTTTTCCACGCCTTTAGGCGTATAGGGCTAGACCTATATTTTATAGACCAGTCGGCACAAGCTGGGTGGTGTGGTCAGCATTACGCTGGCCGCCCTTACTTTCCGGGACTGCACCCGGTACCCGTTTAATGCTGGGTCGACCTGGGAGCCAGGGTCTGTTTTGAAGAAAAAATGCGGCTCCGCCAGGGAGCGAACTTATCCCCAGTACCGTGTGATTTGAGGCCAATGTTTATCGCACAGTACTGGTTCAGTTATGCGAGCTGTAAATCCTTTGAGGATCAGCTAGCTGCCTCTCAACACGCATGTGGCGAAGATCAACTGATTGAGGACTTGTTTGAATCGGTTATGTTGAGCGAAACGGCGCAGATATTGTAGCCTAGCTGTAAACCAATTTTTATTTGATTAGATATAATATGAAATATATAAACAAATACTCGTTCTACGTGGAAAGGGGCGGGGGCTCGGCTTACTAAAATTATGAGATGGGGCAAAGTAGCCGAGTCCCGATGTTATTGCCTGCATGTACCATAGGAAGATATTTACACATTTGAGAAAATATTAGTCATACTACTGGTTGTAGAAGTTCTCTGCTGCAGCAGACTTATTCCTCTATTTCTCTTCTTCTTTTTCGGCTTCCCCTGCTACTTCTGCTGCTGCATTTCTTTCTTCTTCAGCTTATCCATGCAATTTATTGCTGCAGAGACCCACCTTCATCCATCTCCATCCACTGTATCTACCACAAGCCACTGCACTACCACCGGAGTTACTGTGACAGGATACCACCCCGGCGTGTATGGTGAACAGCGGCGGCTGTTTACAAACAGTTCGTTGTATACTCTAATTGTTATATCACTTCTGATTTTCTGGAACACGTTTTCATTTCGTGCCATTCAGGTCCTCAACTCTGGACCGACTCACATTTAGCAGCCTCTCTGCTTCCTCCCATCGTCATTAAACAGGGTGATTATTGCCTCCCAGTTTAAAAGATAGCATGTTTCTTGTTCCAGTGGCTGGCAGTTGATTACTTGTGATACTCCCTTCCCCGCCGTTAGCCTTACGGAAGTTCTGTACTTACGCTAGGGTCTCCCTTAGGTCATTGTACAACGCCGGAGTTTGCACTGGAGCGCGCAGTACGTACTTGATGGAAGGACTAACATGCAGCGAGTTTATGGCGGATTTCCACAACAGTTGTCACAATTGTTCGCCGTTTGAGTTTTTGTTGGTCGTAAACCAGGTTAACCCCTGGCGCCTGCCACAGACGATACGTCTGTAGGACGACGAGATAGAGGGAACCTTGTTGCCACTGTTTTAATCGAATTTGTGCTCCCGGGGTAGCGTTTTCCAGTAGGTTGTGGGGATTGTTGTTGCATGGAAAAACCCTCTCGCCCGGGCTGTGTGCAAGCACATTACTCCTGATGTGTATTAACTTTGTGCTGTTATTTCATTGCAGATTAGGTGAGAGTTGTTGGTTAAGCTGTAATTCAACCCTGTTGTTGGGTTTGCGTTGAATTACACATTTTCGAAATGTGTCTTAACGAAACACCGTTACAGGGACACGTTAATTCATCTTGGTTACTGGGTACATGTTAACTTGATGCTATTAATGATTGAAAAAAAAAAAAATTATAAGCGTGTGTTTTTGATTAGGCGAGTTAATAAGTAAAGAAAGAAGAGCGCTTGACAACAAAAATCAAGAGCTATAAATGACGTGTCGGCATATATAGCTTAGGTATTATGAACACAGTTTAATAATTACAGCATACCGGGTTTCCTTCGGCTGCAGGTGATTTAGCAGCAGACCACAGTCTTTATTAGAAGACAAAACAACAGAGTAAGCTAAAGATGAATTAAAATATTAACAAGGTAACAATGCAGCTGGAAATATATAATGTATTTATGGGTGTCTTGTCCTTTATCTCCTTGAGCTTTGTAACTGGTCTTTTCTTGTTTTCTGCAGCGCAACCCCGATGGTGTCATAGCGGTCACTTTCAAGGAGCCCGAAGAAGCCGACGCTTGTATAGCCTCCCTGAATGGAAGATGGTTCGCCAAGAGGAGAATCCTAGCTATGACTCATGATGGCAAGACAAAATATGACATTGCCGAGACAGAGGAGGAACGAGCAAAACGTCTGCAGGAGTGGGAGGCATTTTTGGAGGGGAAGAGGAAAACAGATGAAGAGGAAGCTACCAGGCAGAGTGTGGCTGACTCGGCTGCTGCAGCTGCTAGTGCCAGCAGTGTTGAGTGTGCTGAAAATGGGGCAGCATCTCAGGATTCTGTGTCTGTAGACAGTGTCGATTCGTGAGATGAGCGTGGTTTATTAGATGCAGGGAAAGATTCTTAGGGTTAGGGTGGTTTATTGGATGGGGAAGATTCATGAGGTAGGGGTGGTTCCTGGGATGTGGGGAAGATTCATGAGGTAAGGATGGTTCCTGGGATAGGGGAAGATTTATGAGATGGGGGAAGATTCATAAGGTAAGGATGGTTCATAGGCTGGTGGAAAATTCATGAGGTAAGGATGGTTCATGGGATGGGGGAAGATTCATGAAGTGAGGATGAGATGAGGGAAGATTCATGAGTTGAGGATGGTTCATGGGATGGGGAAAGATTCATGAGGTGAGGATGGGTTGTTCGATGGGGAAGATTCATGAGGTAAGGGTGGTTCGTAGGATAAGGGAAGATTCATGAGATAGGGATGTTTCATGTCATGGGGGAGATTGAGATTAGCATGGTTCATTGGATGGGATTAGATTCATGAGATAAGTGTAGTTCACTGGATGTGAGAAGATTCTTAAGGTCAAGGTAGTTCATGGTATGAGGGGAGGGGGGGGAGATTCATGAGAATAGTGTGGTTCATGGGATAGGGAAAGATTCATGAGATGAGGCGTAGCTGATGGGATGGGGTGGGGAATCATTTTTAAGGTGAGAGAGGC